AGCACATCTGTTAAATCATGTAACATCTATTAAAACTTATACTTTTACCTACTGACAAAAAAATCAGTTATACTAAGTGAAAAAATCAGAAAAAATATATTTCTATTACTGAAATATGCATATGTAATTCATATTTCCATAGGAAAATACAGAAAAAATAACCACATAAAAATGTGAATCATGATTATTTTTGAGTGATTTTTATTTTTTACTTTGTATTTGTCTGTATTTTATTCATTTTTGAGCATATATTATTTATAATTAGGAAGACAACTTACTTAAAAGAACTTCCAGTCCTACCCTTTCTATAAGATCTATTTTTAGAACTCTTAAATCAATTCATTAAGTCTAAAATTATTCAATGGAAATGGAAAGAGACAAATTCAAGAGACATTGGTAGGTATAACAAGTTCTTGAAGATAGAATGAAAATAGTAATAGGCAATTAGAGAAAGCTGATGAATATATTCCTAAGGTTTCTAGTTTGGAAGACTTTTGGACACTGATGTCTTTCGCCAAAAAAAACTACCAGAGGTTGGGTACTGAAATATCATTCCTTTAGATCTGAACATGGTGAACTTGAGGATCAGGCAGTATAGTAAAAGGCATGTATTTTGACATATGGGTGTAAAGAGTAGGAGAAACTTAAAGCAGGGAGATACAAATCTGGAGTCACTGGTACACAGATGATAGTTGAAAGTTGCCTGGGGAAAATATGATGAATAGAGGTCACAAATGGAACTTCTAGAAACACAGAACATCGAAGGCATGGATAGTAGCAGAGAAACTGAAAAGAAGTAATTAAAGATGTAGAAGAAAATCAGAAGAAAATGAGATCACTAAAAGAGCCAACGTTTTCATGAAGAATTAATCAACCACAGCAAAGCTTAAGCCAGATAGTCAGATGAGTAAGCCACCAGGCAATCTGGAAAGACAGTTGGCCACTATGGAAGATCATCTTCAAAATGGGAATATTTGCCTTACTCTTCATGGGCTATAAGTAAGGTTGAAATAAGAGAGGCGAAGATATTATACAAATTATCCAAACATCCTCAGATGCACACAACCCATAATCTCTACCCTTTTATATGCACACATCACACTTACCTTCCTCGAGTAATTATTAAATATTCACTGCATACTCTTTTGTGCCATTTACCAGCTTACCTTTCTTGATTTTGACTCTTCCAGGTACCACTTGCTGTTACATAGTCCATGACCAAAGCTGTTCCAATGCAAGATGCCAGATTCTCCTTACAGTTTGATAGAGACACAGGGTCATAGCAAAGGATGCTAGTTATTAGGTTAGTTTTCAAGGACCAGAAACTCTTTTTTCATGTCAGGATATATGGCATGCATGGCAAACAATCACCACACAAGAGCCACAGAGGTGATCTGTAACATTCCATAAAGTAGAAGTGTACGGTGAAAAAAGCTCACCAGCAACCATAAACTTGCCTGATATTTTCTGGGTGGACAGCAAGAATTTATTTTATTTTATTTGAGTCTCACTCTGTCACCCAGATTGGAGTGCAGTGGCCGCTCCCGGCCACCGCAGCCTCAACCTGTTGTCCTCTGGCGATCCTTCAGCCTCAGCCTTCCAAGCAGCTGGAACTATAGGCGCGCACTACCACGCCCGGCTGATTTTTCATTTATTGTAGAGATGAGGTCTCACCAAGTTGCCCAGGCGGGTCTCGAACCCGCAGGCTCAGGCAATCCACTCACCTCAGCCTCCCAAGGCACGGGATTAGAGGCTGAGCCACGGAGCCCAGCAACAGCAAGAATTTAGAGAATGCCAGCAGTTTAAATTCTTTTATCATACCAGTAGTTAAAAAATAAGAAAAAGTTAAAGGGAGCTAAACAAAGTAAACCATTCACCTACTGCCCTTTCCTGAGTTGTGCACTTAGAATAAATGCAATTATTATAGTATATTTTAATATAAACCCACATGCCAAAGAACTCACAATGTAAAATTGTGTATCTCAAAGCTCTAACAAGCATCAAGAAATTGTGTTCTTTTCATAGTATGCAAACAGGTATTTTCTGCCTCACTGTGCAACTGTGACTGGAGAGCGCCTAGTAGCCTAAGGAAGGAATGGTAGTGAACTGAACATGGGCCACCTGGACCTTCACAGCTGGGATAAGGTTTGTTAGTTTTCAGAGCAAACCCACACTCTCCCCTACCCTTCCATCTTTACACACAGCTTTGTCAAGGGAAAATGTTAACCTGCAAAGTTGAGAAATACTTTTTCAAGAAATCCTTAGATTTAGCAACAAAATTTCAGAAAAATTGTGTATTTGAAAGAATGTCAATTTATATTTAAGAAGTTGTAGCTAGAGAAATTAAGTTAATATTGTGAGCAATAAAAAGCTGTTAAAGAGTTTAAAAGAGACAGTTAAAAAGAGACAAGTATGCCTGTGATGGAATAAAAGTACTTGGTATTCCGAAGCTTGCTTTATTGGTCATCAGAAGAAACCTAATTAAAACTAAAAAATTGCAGAGGCTGGATGATGTCTATTTATCACCTATTAGATTTGAGAACAAAAGTTTTGGGTATCTTTTTGATCATTCTTTTTATATTACTTTTCTACAGCTTTTTCCCCCCATCCTTCATCTTAGTTACTTTTTAAAAATCTTATAAAGAATTCAGGTTACAGGTTTCTTAGTCCTGTTTGTCATGTACATCAGTTCTCAAACAGATGAGTTTTGCATACACAGTGAGAAAGAAGTTAGAGAATTCAAGAGCAGGTGAATTCATAGACAGAAAGCAAAATAGCATTACCAGGGGTAGGCTGGAAAAGGAGAGGGTTACCATGGGTGGGCAGTGGTGATGAAGATTAGAGAGTTACTGTTTATTGGGTATAGTTCCTGTTGGGAAATGATGAATGGGTTCTGGAAATGTATAGTGGGGACGGTTGCACAACACTGTAAAGGTACTTAATGTCACTGAATTGCACACTTAAAAATGGTTAAAATGGTAAAATTTAAAGAATGTTTTCCCGTGATTAAAAAAAAGAGGGGGAAAAAAGTAGACGCAGCACACCATCTCCTTTAGACATGACCAATTTATTCAGAGAACTCAAATTTCATATGGCAAAGTATATCCAAGGGCAGATAGTTTGGGATAATGATGTCATTGCAAGCAATCACATTTTCTACAGCAAATTGGCCTGGAGTAATATCTGAAGGAATGAAGGCAAAACTTCTAAAACAATTTAGTGTATGGGGGTGATAATCGTAGGATAAATATTTGCAAATGAAACAAACAACCAGCTTATACAACTGAGGAATGAAACACATTAATGCTAGCAACTCTATTTAATTTAGTTTGACACACATTAAGCACCTAATCTGTGCAAGAGACTGGGGTGGGTGTTGTGGTTGAGGTGCCAGCACACAGAAAAATGATTCTGTGAGGCACAAAAACTCTGCTCTGAAAACAAGGAGCTCCCTCCAAGTTACTTCCTAATAGAGGTTGAAGTCAGGACCCACTAAGATTTGGTGGTGTGGGTGAGGCAGGTCGTAACATGCTAAAACTGGTGTCAAAGCATGTGTTGGCAACAGCAAATGGTCTATTTGCTTCATGGCTTTGAATATGTGAAGAGGCAAGGAGTATTCAAAGGTAAATTACCTTAATTTCTCTCCTCATTGTTAGCCCAGTATAAGAAAGGATTACTGAGAAATGAAGGCAAAAACCAACAACTAAAAAAGAGGCTGAAGAGGCAGAGACATAGATAGGAAACTCAATTTCCTAATTTTAGTGTAAACTCAACCCCTTGGGCATACACATCTACTTGCTGGAGTTCACACTGTCAAAGGAAAAAAAACAGCCCCAGCAGCACCACAGTCATCACAACAGAACAGTCTCTCTTGTGGGACTGAAAAAGCTAGCTTTGCCTATTGCCAGTAGTAGACCACAGAGCATGTGGAAACTAAAGGTCCTTAAATGTTCCCTCCTCACAACATAAATAAAGCAGAAGTCTATAAGAGATAATTTGTGGGGAGAGATGAAATCCTGTTTGGGTTACTTGATGTAATGACTCAGTACGCTTTATTTCCTATGTAAAAATTACAGGATGAGCAGGCTGTTCCCGAATAAAAATTTACTATGTATACAGTGGAACATACTAATCAAACATCACAGTTTCTGCTTTTTTAACTTACACAAATTACATTAATTATAATACTTTAGGGAACCCTTACAAACACAATACATAACACGTTGTTTTAATCTTACTCAACATCCTTAACTTCTGAAAGTTTGGCTTATAGTATCTAGAAGGAAAACTACTTATCTCATTTTCCCTCAAAATTAATTCACTACCATTTTAAAAATAAAAATAAATAAAGCTTTGCCAATGGCAAATTCAAATGCATATACCTGCCAGGCTTTGATGAAACAAAAAATAAATGATTTACAATGACCAGTATCTCATAAAACCAGACCCTCTTTTTGAAGGACAAAATTTCATTTGTCTTGTCCTCTCAGTAACTGCCACACAGAATTAGAACCCTCTCTCCTTTAGGAACTGTTCTCATGTGTTATGTCATGCAAGACACAATATTTTAAAAGATTAATAAATTATTGATATGCTACCATGAATAAATAGCTATTTTTAAAAAAACCAAAATGACTGTAAGGAGCTGAGAGAACAGATGTAAGAGCACATGGAAATGACTTATTTAAAAATAAGATCTGTAAAAATGTGATCTATCATGGCGTGATGTTAATTAAAATTATAAATCAAAAAATGAAATATCATTTCAGACCTATATACATCAAGATGCCAGTTCTTATAAAAACATACTCTAGTTGTAAATGCTAGGTTATGCAAAAATAATTATCAATTTTATTTAATTTTAATGAATTCCCTCAATCTAATATTAAAAACATTAAAATAACGTAAATTTTAATGGCAAAAAGTTCCTATTTTCCTCACCTATTAAAAAAAGATTTCATTTTCTCTTAACATACAATGCCCTATAGTTAAGGCACAACTTTTTTTAAGGTAAAAATAAAACCACAGATTAGGTTTATTTTCTACAACAGTTACCAGACAGACTTTTTGTAGGCATATAATCAAATACATCTTAAATTCAACCAAGATTTAAAATGAAAAATCATTTTTTCCTATCTAGGACTAATCAACACATACCCTAGATAGGCAGTTGCAGCTAGAATAATCCCAACAGTTCCTGTTTTAACCTGTCTCCAGAAGGCCATCTTCAAGGTGTAATCCAAGAGAGGAAAGCTAGATATTTTCTTTTATGCAGGGCACACCGCCTTTCTTTTAACTTATGCCTGGGCTATCAGAGACAGCTGACACTTTCAAAGCCTGAACAAACCCAATTTACACTCAACATCTGAGACAAGGGCAGAGTTCCTGATCCTGGGGGTCAGGGCAGATGTTTGCTTTGCACCCGCCCCCTCACCACTCCCTTGAGCTCCCTCTGTCTTCTGTCCCACTCCCTTCTTACCCACTGCCTCCCCCCCACCTCTGCTGCAATTTGCAAAATACTCAAAGGGAGCACCCCAAAACAGGAAGAATTCACACAACTGTTAATTAAAACGTAAAATGCTTTTGTTACTTCATTATACGGCCATAAACAATTCACTGATATTACTGATTTCAAATCAAGAAAGACACACTAAATCTGAGAAAAAGGAACATTCACACACCTAAGACAAACACAACCATCTTGCAGGTCCTTATAAATTCAATTGAATGGGGAATACAAGTATGAAAACTGACAGTAAAGCCTAGTTTCCTCAAGCAGGGTTATCAACAACCCAACTCTTTCATATTTTCCACACTTAGGAGTCTTGAGCAGTGGGTTGGAAGAAGTGCTTTGTAAAAACATAAAGTGTTGGATTAGGTTGACAATGTAAACATCTTTCATTTTGAAGGTGATTTTCCTAGAGCTTCTGAGGAGTCTTTGAAAAGTGAGTCAACCAGTCCTCCACCAGGTCCATCTCCCTCACTGGGAACTTTACCAAAGCCTCAGTTCTACAGAAAACAAGAGCAGCCAATCTCGAGAAAAATGCATATATAAAATCATTTGGGGGTGAGCATTGTAGGGATAGTTTTCTGGCTAAGAAAGAGAAGGAGAGATAAAAGGAGAACCTTAATGGGCAAATAAATGCAAACAGTTAACAGGTAGGAGGAGATGAAGAGGAGGCAGCTGATGGATACCGAGATGACTGATGTCACTGCTTCCACTACATGTGATGCTTAAAACTCACATTTTAAGGAAAAATGATACTCTGATAAGGACAGAAGTGAAGAAAGGGAAGACCAGGAGTTGAGGAAGTGTGGGCCACTAAAAGTAAACTGTACTTAGTTATTTTGCTACTTTTTAGGAATAATTTAATTCTGGGCGATGCTACATGTCTCATTCATAAAGGGGTTTTACTGGTATACTCTGGCAAATACTATCGCACACAAATAAATACTGTTCCTTGTACTTATTCCAGTTCTGCAATATTACCTTCAAGAAACAAAAATTTTAAAAGTGAACTTTCCATAAAAGTACGGAAAAACCATTAGTAACTAGACTACATCCAATAAATCATAAAAATAATGTATTTAACCCTCAGGCAGTATCTCAAGTTTGGCATACAACACACATCCTTCACAAAATCATTATCTACATGTAGATTAATGAAATTAAAAATAAAGACAATCATGCTTGCTAACATGAACTAGCTTTGTTTCCATTAAACCATAAAGTTTCCATATAATATTGAAAAAATCCAATTAAATTGTTTTCAACTTGCTAGTCCCATTTCCCTAACTTTGAAGTACTACTGTTAAAACTAATTCTTATACCATCGGACTTGGGAAACCGCATATGCCTTTGCTATCTCTCCAAAGGGAAAAAAAAACTTCTTCATCTTATTGCAAAGTAAAAAGATTAGTCTCTAATATTCTTTTCAAAATTTTCAGGTTCTATTTAAACATCAAGTGCTCCAACCACTAAAACTTTAAATGAATTTTCATTCAACAAAGGCCTCCCTAATAAGGCCCACCACCTTATCAAATCTGTGACCAGTTGCTGCAGATGGGGTGAACACACTTGCATCACACTAGATTCAATTTACTAAAGAAAACTTGAAGGGCTTTGGACAATGTAACATTCAAACCAAAAGCATGCTCATTCCAACTAGGCTAGAATGCACATTCTTTGGTAGGTTTTAACTACAAGATAGAAAAATAAAAAGCTGATTTAGGTTTAAAAATTTGGAAAAGGAGAGCAACTATGAGAAAACCCTCTCCTTATCAGTGTGTTACAGAATTATAAGGGCACTGAAGTCACATGAAATAAACGTATCGTTTACACGAAGATTCCAGATATCACACTGAGGAAACTGCACATCCCAATGAAAAGTTCATAAAGCAAGTTCTAGTGATGGCTGCACAATGAACATGTCACAACACTTTTCCAACAAGATTCTGCCGATTGAAAAGAAAAAAAATTTCAGCAAAAAGTAACTTCAACTTTCATTATTTTAATCTGAAGGGAAACTAGAGTATCTCAAAAGTTACCACTTTGAGAGTCTGGCTAGGTTAGATACATTTATTAATAGTAAAAGCAACCATGGCAAAAGCAACCATACTCATTCTTGATAATGAGGGAATCTTCTATATACAAACCTGGCAAATTTTTTAAAAAACTGCTAAAACAAAGTTTTTGAAAATAACAAAAGCTAGTTCAATTCATACAATGTCAGGTAACTTTCAATTGTAATAGAATCATTTATAGTCTTATAGTGCCTTACAGCATATTCATCCCTAATGAGAAAATGTACCAAAATGATGGTGCTAAACCTGAAACCTTAAACCAAACCTTACAAGTTAAAAACTGAGTGTTGGTCAAAAGGAAAAGGATGAACCATGCATCTTCCATATGGAAAATGAAAATCAACAGCAAGATGGCAGAAATATTAAACCCATGGAACAAATATACTTTCTTTATAAAAACAAAACAGCACACACACATACAGAAATCATGATTACAAAGCAAGCCATCATATATCTATATTTTCTACCAGCTAGAGAACTTATTTCAAGGAAAAAAATCAATTATGCTTTTTCTATTTTAATCCGTTGAAATATTCAGTAACATAAATAAAACATTTGTTGCATATTAATGAATGTGTGGCTTTTTGTGCTTTCCATCCAAATGAGGGGGTAAAAATTCCCAATTACTTATTTTCAATGAGAAATAATTGTAAAACTGTATTAAACATCTACACAAAATCAATCTTTCCTTCAGCCCAATTCTATATGAAAGTACTAACAAATAGTGATGATTCACGATGTTGTGTGAAAATGGTGACTCATAACAATGGAGACTCAGCTACAGATTTTAATTCACAAATATATATATGCGCTTTGTGTATGACAACTGTACGAAAATAGTCTCAAAAATAAAGACAATACTTGAGACACGAAGCAACCTATTTTCCCTGACCTTGCATCCTATCACAGGGAAAATAAGTCTCTTTTGCTTCATAAATACTTTAAAAAGTTTGAGATGGCCTTAACCATGCATAGTCTCCACTAATCCTCTGAGCTTCCAGGATTTCAGGGTAACCATCTCAGCTCTGGAAGAGTTGCACCCTGTAATCAGTTATGCTTATTTATGTCCTGTCTTTTCTAGATCCGGGAGTTTTCTGACCAGAGCCTGGTGGTTCATTCTAATGCTAGCAAGGAGTCCACCTTCAATGCCATCAGAACCGGTGTAACTGATCTCTTCACCGCTCAGGGTGGTCATATGCCCCCCAAGGGCTTTTAAAATGGCATTGCCAGCACATATATCCCACTTTTTGATGTATGTCACATGGATATATAGATCGGCTTTTTCTTGACTCTTATCAGGCACATCCAAGAGTGCTAAAACTTTATAACCTAAAAGATAAAAACAGAATTTAGGTTATTGTTCAAAAAACTGTAAGAAAGTAGTATACTTTTCTGATTATGTACATTGTTAAAAAATAATAGGACAATGTGAGTAGGGGCTTGCCGTACTATCTTTGCAACTGCTCCCTAAGTCGAATTATTTCAAATTGAAAAAAATTAAAGTAACAGTACAAACATTAAACTCAACAGAGCAAAAATATACTGAAAAGTAGCTTATTAAGCTAGTCTCAGGTGTAACCAAATATATGCCTATAATTTTTAAAAACTAAAATCTACTTTGTAGTTGTCTTCTACAGAATGAAACATTCAGTGTGTGTCATTATCTATAAAATGACATATCATACCCACAAGTTTTATGTAAACATCTAGGCGGGCCTGATTTGAAAAAAACAAAACAGAAAGTAACACTAACCCCTAAGTCCTTTTTGTAATAAGGCAGGATTTAAAAATAAAACAATAAAACAAATGCAGAAGAATCTGGGTCAGAATTTAGTTTATCTCATCCCTATTGGGTATTTTGGACATTACTTTTCCTAATCAACCTAATGGACAGCCCTTAAGCAATAATGAAGCCATATTAAGGAAGACAGATATACAGAGCCAGCAAATGAAAACAATTAGGCTTAAAAGTACCTAAACAGTTTTCTGACACAAATATTTTCTAACCATAATTTATTATTTACCTGAATTAAAACACTTTTGAAATGTTAACAGCACTCATAGCGAGAGCTGTCAACCCCTCAAGCCAAATCCATGGCCTGTGTTGTAGGGCTCTTGAAATAAGAATTTTTAAAAAGTACTTTTAAAGGTGGTTTAAAAAACCCCAAAAGAACGGCACGCAACAGACTCTTATATGGCTAACAAGGCCTGAATATTTACGATCTGTCCCGTTCAGAAAAACTGGGCAGACCTTTGATCTGTAATTAGGTAATACAATAGTACAGAAAATAGCGTCAGCTGGGTAGACACTAGACGCTCTTGCTCATCCCAGATATGCAAGTTAAAGAGTTTAGGGGTGTAAAGTGACCCAGGGAACCGTCATTCTAATAGTACCTTTGATGACTCCTGATTCCTTCTCCTACACAAAGCACCTTAAGTGCTTGTTCTTTCTTCCTCTCCCTAATATTCCCACAGTTAAACTAATAGGATAACTATATTGAAATCAGATTGTATAAAAAGCAACCACTGGCCAGGCACAGGGGCTCACGTCTGTAATCCCAGCAACTGGGAGGCCAAAGCAGGCAGATTGCTTGAGCTCAGGAGTTCGAGACCAGTCTGGGCAACATAGCAAAACCTTGACTCTATTTAAAAAATAAAAAAATTAGGAAGGCATGGTGGTGTGTGCCTGTAGTCCCAGCTACTTGAGATGCTGAGGTGGAAGGATAGCTTGAGTCCAGGAGTTCGAGGTTACTATGAGTTGTGTTCGTCATGATCATGCCACTGCACTCCAGCCTGGGTGACAGAGTGGATCCCAACTCAAAATAAATAAATAAATAAAAGCAACCACTGATGGTACATTATTGATGGGAAGATGCTTGTGTAGTATTTACAAAAGAAATATCACTGTAGTGAGATTGTTTTTTCCTGACAAAAGCCAAGTGTGACTGAAATCCCACCCTAGAGATTACCAAACAGGAGACCAAACTTGCCATGAAAATACACCATTCCTCCTCACTTTCTTATCAAGAATGGGACAAACAAATCAGTCTCCTGACATAGCTCTGCCCATGCCAGGTACACTCTTCAGGAATTACACCAGAATAGGAACATACCAGCACCACCAGCGGGGATAATTGTAGTTTGGTTTCCAAAAGTCTGAAGAGCAACCTGTTTGACCATCCCTGAATGGGAACGAGACACAACGATCCTTGGGGTCTTTTCATTGTAGGAAGAGCGGGCTTTCACGTTTGAACCACCATCTACCATTGCCCAAGCTGAAAAGCAAATGTAATATCCATTAATAGCACTGAAGCTTTAAAACTAAAAGTACCAAGTTACCGTTACTGACAAAATATCCTCTTCTAATGAATTATTTGTATTTCTTCCTCCAAAACAGAAAGTTTCATTTTTTCAGAGCATGAAAGCAAAATTATTTATATTACATAGATATGAAATACGACAAAACTAAAAAAAGGCTATGCAATCATGTCAAGTCAGAGACAATGGCTATTAAATATTCAGTTTAAGAACTCCCATGCTCCAGAGCTCCCTGTAGGATGTCAGCTGAGTCTCCAGTGGGATGGCACTGCAACTCAACTTGTTCCTGCATCTATCCCACTTCCTTTCCTCTCTTCCACACATATGATCCCAAGAGCACTCCCCAGAATGAGCTCTGAAGCAAATCTCCATCTCAAAGTCTGATTCCTAAGGAACCCAACATACCCACATACTTCCCTGATTAATTCACATCTTACAACTCATTTTTCCGTATACTACCTCTATTTCTGATATATTCATGGTTTCAATTAATGCATATTGGCTCAATATCCTAAGTAATATTATAAACAGAAAACAAAGAGGTAAGTGAGTTAAGGTTTACGTATCAGTTTTACCAGAGAGTATTAAAAGAAACAGCCTTAGATTTCAAAATAGAACAGAATTTTTAAAACATTCTGTTTTAAATGGATGCCAGAGATGATTTCAGATTTTTTTTTTTTTTTGGTTTGGACGTATTCTTCACTGACTCTCAAACTATACAAGAAAATAAACTTACTCAGAAGTATCCCAATTAGATTGTTGTCTTAGCAGTCACTCACTACGGGATAAAATACAGTCCACCATGGCTAACAATGAAAGCAGCTGCATCACCAGCTTATTCCTGGCTGCAGGAAAAAAAAAATCAAAAAAATTGTAGCAGAGTTTGGGTTTCTAAGTTCCCTAAGGATGATGGCAGTCTCCTGGACTCCTCTCATACCTCCTTCTAAAAATCATACACAGCAACAAGGAGAGCAAACAGAAACACCCATGATCTATATCCACAGAGTGAGTAGGAGACAGCCTTCAACACAAATGCAAGAGAAAGCAGGGGAGTAAACGCTGAAGATTCACAGAGTAAGTGCTGTGGCCAACCCCAGTGTGGAGGATTGCAGGAAGAGTTTCACAGAGGTACCCAGAGGTCGGACAGTTCAAAGGGTTTGAGGCAATCAGATGATGTAAGCCAGGATTTCTCCCCAGAAGGAAAAAGTTCCATCTTAAATAGGAGGTACTGAAAGTAGGCCTGAAACTTGGCAGCAAAGCATCGAGAAGAGGCTTGGAGAAGACATGGGAACAGAAGTGGAGTCCTAAGAACACCTTTGTGGGGAGTGGGAGGGAGGGAGGGGACAGGAGGAGTGATAATGCAGACATCTTTTTGGATTTGGAAGGTAGCAACTAGAGCTAAAGACAAGGAAGAGATTGCAAATGGGGGCCTTACTGAAACAAGGTCATCTGAGGAAATCTGAAACAAAAAAGAGTGCCTGATAATAAAGACAAAGGCTTTCTGCACTAACAGAAAAAAAAAGCTTCTGAACTGAGAATTACCCCAATTCCCTTCCTGCTACCACCTTTCCATAGATCCTACAGTAGGTGGCCCTATAATTAGTAAGAAATAGAAAACTACCATGTCTGCTGAAAAACATAAAGAAAACATACAGAATGCAAATGAAAACATTCCATGCTACTTTAAAATTTCCACCATGCAGAGGAAAACCATAAACCAATATTCCAACATGATTAAAAATAAAGAAACAGAATAGGAAAGGCATGCCACGAAACAAAAAAGCAACAACTCAGAAAAGATGAACAAACAAGAGGAAGATGTGAAATGGGAATTCACATAACACAGGAAAGAAACTGAAAAATAAGAACAAAAATTGCTGAAGGCAGCATTAAACCATAAGATACACAAAGGACAACAGATTCGTTCAAAAGTATAGCAAGCAATGAAAAATGAAAAAAAGTGAAAAAAGTAAACAGATAAAAGGGACCGGGGAGAAAGTGACAGATATAGAAACCAGTAAAGGAAGAATCAACACATACAAGGAGTCCCTGAAAACAAAAACTAACTAATACGACAGAACTAATCTTTAAAATTATAATTCAAATAGTGTCCTGAAATAAAAGAGGACCTTAATGTCTATACTGGGAGGCATATTGAGTACTTGGGAAATCTTTCCAGAATGGTAACTCTAAGGTGCCACAGCTATGTTATTAGAACTTAAAGTTTGTGGGTTGAATACTGTCCTTCCAAACTTCACGACCACTTGGGTCCTTAAGATGTGACTTCATTTGGAAACAGAATCTTTGTGGATATATTTAGTTAAGGTGAGGTCATACTGGAGTAGTGTGGACCCTAAACCTAATGACTTGTGGTCCTTGTAAGAAGAGAAGACAGAGGCAGGGAGTAGAGTTATAAGTAGACCCACTAAGGCATGCCAACAATGTCTGGAGTCACCAGAAGCTACAAGAAGAAAGGAAATATTCTTCCTCCAAGCCTGCAGAGAGAGTATGATCCTGATGCCTCCTTGATATCAGACTTCTGGCCTCCAGAACTTAAAGAGAATAAGTTTTTTTGTTTTGTTTTTTAAGTCACCCAGTCTGTAGTAATATGTTATGGCAGACACAGGAAACTAATACAGGATGAACCAAAGATTGTTTAACTAGCCAAGTGGTCTTTCAGAATCAAGGCAACAGAAAAAGTTTTAAAGTACTCAGGTAATATTATGGCCAAGAGATAGTTCTTCTGATGTAATCTATTAGAAAACAAGTTTTATCCAACCAAGGAATGACTAAAAAACCCTTACAAAGAACTTGTTGGCTAGCACTGAATAAATTTAATTGTGAACCTAAGAGGAAACCAAAGATGGGAATAAGGTAGAAGAATAAAGGTGTGTAAATGTTATCTTATAGTTGATTGATGAGAGTTAAAGGACATCATTTAAAAAATCTGACCAGCTGAATAACAGAGTGGAAAGATAAACATCAAAAAAGTATGACTGGCTAAAATGGGATGGTCATCAAAAAGGAAGCTAAAATATGTTAATTTATTGGTGGCTTATAGTAGTGGGCCAAGAGATAAATGTTTAAAGGAAAGGACTATATAACAGCATATAAAGAAAAAAGGATACATAAAAGTATTAGTAAAGGTAAGCAACAAAAATAATTTAGCTTAAAATAATAACTAGTCATTTGGACCACACTGACTATATAAAATTCATGAAATCCTAAGATTATTAAAAACAGAGAGAAAGCCTGCTACTCTGTGAAAAAAAACCACTGGAAGCGGTTTGTACCCTAATACCTTACTCTGAAGATTGGTAAATAAAATAATTAACCATTTATCCTGCCTCCCTAAAAGAAACTACATTTCAGGAAAAACAAATAACTTCTATAGAGAAAGTTTTCTGTAGAAAAGTATGTGCTAATATATGTTGAAAACACAAAATTAGAAAATCCTATTTTATAACATCTTTAATGATCTTAAAACTATTATGTGAAAGGTTTAATGGAAACTAGATCTCAAATGATGCCAAAATATCTCTCTAGATTACCTGCTGGTAGCAAGAAAGTAAACATAATTTTACAACTGGGAGATCTGGTCATGATCACTTTAACTATCTGACCATCATTCATGGTGAGACAAAGAGATATATATGTCATGTAATGTGATACATAGAAGTATGTGAAGAATATCTATACCATATTCTTGACAAAAATGTAACTTCAATCAAGGCTTCAGTTCTAGTCTGTACTTTATAAAAACAAGAAGATATAGCACTAAACAAAATGACACCCTGAGAAAACAGACAAATCCAACGGCAAAATATTCTACAGGACAAATGACCTGACCTCTTCAACCATTCAATGTTATGGAGGGGGGATTAAAGGGCATGGAGGTTGTTCTAGATTTAGGAAACTTAATATAACAACCTATCAACTAAAATAAATTCCTGTCACTTGACTAGATCTTGGTTTGAAGGTAATCAGTTGTAAAATCTACCTTAGGAACAATTAGGGAAATATGAATATTAGATAACATTAAAAATATATTAATTATACTTTTCTTGTGTAGAAAAATGTCCTTACTTTTTAGAGATGCATCCTCAAGTAGATAGGAATACAATGTTACAATCTTTATAATTTTCTTTGAAGTACATAGGAAAAAATAGGAAGTAAAAACATAAATGTTATCAACTGTTAAATCTGGAGGAAATGGTATAGCGCATTCATTATAATTTTGTTTGTTTAAAATTATTCAAAATAAAAGTAAAAAATGAGGAAGAAAAAAATCCTCTATTTTTTTAATAAATACTCAAAAAAACATGGTTTATTAAGTGAATTTACAGTGCTGTATCTCTAGAGGTCACTAATGTGTAAGAGTAAAAAAATAGCATATGGCAATAGATATTACCAGAATAATTTTAGAAAAAAATTACTAACTTAATGTTTTTTCAAAAATGTACTTCATGTTACATAAATTCAGTACATTCTTTGGAACACTTATGTGGACACAATTATTTCAAGTGCCTAAAAATACAGGAGATGATTAAATAAATACAAATGATTGAAGACGAAGAGGCAACAGTGATAACAGTAGCCAAGAATATGTTTGTTTTATTGGTAAGATATGCTAAAAAGGCCCAGGAGGAAATGAAAAGTAGTTGGCACTTTCCCAGATATGATAACTTGTTATTAATAGCTACATACTTCCAATGAGTGAATATATAGTCAATCCTTGAACAACAGGATTTAAACTGCATGGGTCCACTTATACCCAGATTTTTTTCAATAAATACGTAAAAAAAGCCAGGCTCAGTGGCTCAGCCTATAATCCCGCCCCTTTGGGAGGCTGAGGTGAGTGGATTGCCTGAGCCCACGGGTTTGAGACCTGCCTGGGCAGTGAGACCTCATCTTTACAATAAATAAAAAAATCAGCCGGGCGTGGTAGCGCGTGCCT